GAGGAACCCACAAAAAACAACCGCCGAAAAAACAAACCAAAAAAACCCCACCACATTTTGTTGCTGTGGTATATTTTTTTACAATGAGAAAATCCTTTGGAAATGCCAAAACCCAGGATACACTGCCTGACCAATGAACATTATCCCTCTTATATGGAAAAACTGGAAGATTCAAGAGAGTCAGTCCTTTTGTCTTGAAAACTAGCCTCTAATTCACTCCAAATATGCCATCATTGTAATTTACTGTTCTGGTCACAATTAGTAACTTAATATGGAAGCAGAGTAATAGAATGGCGTAACAAGACATTTTGATGTCACACTGGACTGAAATATACAAATTATACATTATTGATTGTAAGATTTATGATATTCACTTAAGGACTTATTGAACCTTTCAGACTAATAGTTGATATACAAAAAATGCATTCAGTAAATATACAATATAGTAGAAGAAATTTTTAAAATAGGTGTTGCACAAATTGATTCACAGATTTTCTGTCTCAGTCTTACATGGAAAGAAGTATAACATACAGAACTGTTTCCTTAGTGTTTAATTGAACTGTGAAATCCCTGACAGTGGATAATGATGCAGGTGCTAAAAGCATACATGTCATAAAAAAAGGGATAGGACAAATTTATGAAGTAAAATCCAGTAAGTCTGTTTTGTATAAAAGGCAGCACTCTGGTTTAAGCTGCGCTGCAAGCTGTGCTAGAGGCTGGGGGAGAGCTTTAAGCTGTGCTAGAGGCTGGTGAAATACTTGAGGGAGGTATCACTGCACTGCCTACTATGTTTCGTCTTCCTGGATATTTGCAGTTAACCTTTGTCCGAAACAGGGTATTGAGTAAGATGGATCTTTGATTTAATTCAGTACAGATATCTTTCTGTTTTAGTATAGTTACATTTAAGCATGTGTGATAAATAAAACCAAGGAAACCCATTTCTGGCTATTAATTACAGATACAGTTTTACACCTTTTAGAAACCACCATAATGTAAAAACACACTAGCAAATATTTTTTAAAACATGTAGTTTCCTAGGTCCTGTATTTTTGCTTGGTAGACATCTATTTTTAATGATTGAATGTCTGTAATACAGAAACTGGACCACGTTTCATCAGAATGGTAAGGTAGATAGATCACAAATCTTCAGTAAAATTTAGAATTACTTCCATCCATTATCTGGGAGAAACTATCAGAGATACATTTCGTGAGCAGGTAGAGAACTTGGATGTGGCCCCAACTCTTCTGCATGCAGGTTGTAGAGCTGCATGGCTTTGAATTCCCTCCAAAGTGAGACAGCACATAAAATTCCCTTGCCTGTCAGTATTTCTTAAATACGGTCTGAATGGCTAACTGTATTGAGCAGTTAAATCTTGACTGAATGAAAGAGGATGGTTTGAGTTCACTTTGATTGTGCCTTGTGTTACTTTTCTATGCAAAGATATGACACAAACAAGTGCTAAAATATATATAAATATTTTAATCTACATCTTTTTTTCTCCTGTGAAAGACTCCAGAAACAATGAAACTCCTCAGTTAAGGTGTCATTACAAAAGGATCAGTCCAAGTAATTATCCCTGTTTCTACTACCTTTCACCTTTTTCCCTCAGTTCAGCTTTAATGACAGTTTTAACTCTAGTTTTCTAGATGCCATTAGCAAAACAACTTTTAGACTTTTTGGGCTGAAGTTAAGAAAATACTAATTTCTTTATGTATATTCAGAGAATCAAGTAGTAGAGTAAAAGAGTGGTAGGGATGTTTCACGCTAAGCTCTATATGACTTGTCACTTTGGCAGTCACAAAGACTAATCCAATGCCATGGCTTTTTTTATTGCCATATAGGAAAAATGTCAGATATTAAAGATGTCTGAAAGTGTGTGGCTGATCAAAACCTATCTTCTTGTCTTGATGTGTTCAATTTTAACATGTTACATTTGGTGTACCAGACTGTATTTAGCTGTAATCGTAAAGTCTGTGGTTTTGTTCTCCTCATTATCCTGGAGTTGTGTGGTTTTTATTGTTTTTTCTCTTTCCATTTAGATGCAGAGCCTGAAAGGTGGTACAGAAGCCATAGCCCATTTGGACCAGTTAGAAGCTGATTATTATGATCTACAGCTTCAATTATATGAAGTGCAGTTTGAGATCCTGAAATGTGAAGAGCTGCTACTTACAGCCCAGCTTGAAAGCATCAGAAGACTCATGTCAGGTGCTTTATGCATTTTAATTAAGACGTAATCTGTAAAAGACAATTCTCTTCCTAAGAGTCTAGTAAAGCATGTGGGAATGAAACAAGAAGAGATTATTTATCATGTGAAGAGCTGGATCTTCTAACATAAGTACTGTTAAATTAAAATTTACACCTGTTCATAATGCATATACATATACATACGAAAGTTTTGGTCTGGTTCTCGTTGCCTGTGTTTGGAAATAAGCATGTAAGATACTATGTAAGTTTTGGAAAACTAAATTCAGGGAGAAGGAAGTATCTTAATTACTGGACTTACCTCATTAAAAATTTGCATTGGTGGTATTAATTTCTTTGAAGTGATTGGTTTTCAAAAGGTATTCCTGCAAATCAAGAGTCCTTCAGCTAAACTTTGAAGTTTGTTGTGTTGCCATCTTACTGATTTAGAGCAGTGATGCAAACCTTATGTTTCCAGAACCTACTATACCTTGTGTACTTACAAACTATAGAAATGGTACAGGTAAATCAGTGTTTTTGAATCCAGTTCTGTCCTTTGGACCTTTCTATACTTCATGTTTTTATTTACACAAGATCTGTTTTATTGTTCAGTGCATGGGTTTGCATAGCAAATTTTGTTATGGATAGAAAAGTCACCTAAGAAGAGAGATTTGAAGCTGGATTGTATTTTGAGTTGCTTCTGGAAAAAGAGAAAACATAGGTATCACGAATTCTTTTCACTGTTATGACAATCTCCTTTTAGGCTTGTGATGGCAACAACTGTAACTACATGTATGGAAGATAATGATTGAAAACTCTGTAAATGACTTACAGAAATGTGACAGCTTTGACTGGGTGCCTCTGTGGAGAGCTAGTTAGTGCTTTGGAGACAGATAGTTTTTGTACTTGGGAAATCAGACATTTAATTTTGGTACTGAAGACACAGTATGGTTTGCTTACCTGGACTGAAGGAAATCCCTTGAACAGGAGGCTGAGAAGGAATGTGTATCAAAATCCTTTCTCTTTGAAACTTTGAAGAGTTTTGGATTCTGTTCTGATTTGAGGGACATCAGCACCGCTAATGAAGTCCCAACAGATTTTTTTGAGAGCGTGATTTGATTTGACTGCCAGTTGGTTGTAAGCTAGAAGAAAAACATTTTCTTTTGCAAATTCAACATGTTGGATCTGAAAAGTATCGAATGATAATAGATTGTCATATTATAAACAACAGTAGTAGTTTTTTACTGTCATTAACCAAATACCTGCACTGAAATTCACAAAATGTGAATGTATTAGATTAGAATTTTAAAGGACCTTATCCTAAACTATTCCATACAAGCTCTCCATACATCCTTGTAAGATGGTTTTGTGGTGGATGGGTTGCTGTCAACAGAGAATGTGATAGTAGGTTCCTGCTTTGGTTGGTGGGTGGGTTGAATGAGTGCAAATGGTGTGGATTGTATCTAAAAAGGAATAATTCTAATTGTTTTAATGTAAGTTGTTGAGTTGTTAGAAGCTGAAGCACTTACCAAATTTATAGGCATTTCAAAAGCTCAAAAGCTGTTTGTAGAAAAGTCTTGGAATGTTTGATAGAGGTTGCAACAGAGTTGTCAAGGTTGCTTTGTTGTTTTTTTTTTTTTTTTTCCCAAACAGTAAAATGTAATTTAACATTATGTTCTAGAACTGGTAGATTTGACTGGTTTGCAGCTGAGCTATTGGGGTTTCACTTGTTATTCCTGTCTTTAACTCTGCATGGAAGTGTTCTAAAACAAAATTTGCCTGTATATTCTCCCATTTTATAAGTGCATGGGAAAATATAATTGTTGTTAGCCATGAGTCTTATTTTTACTCACTGATGTCTCAAAGTGGGTTCTAGTGACTTGGCAGTTTTACATATGGATGAAACTTTGTGTTGTTTTTTTAACTGAACACTAAAGCATCTAGTAGGTCTGTTTTTATTAGTTTTTATTTTAAGGTTAATATAGTGTTGTGCTTTCTCTTCTGGTCCTGCCATGTCTTCTGCTGAGCTGAAATTAGCATGACAATCAGAATTTTGGTTGCAGCAGAGACTATACACACAAATAACGTGAAGTGACAACAGCTTTTAAAATGCACAGTGTACTGAAGAAAACCTTTCCCCTCTCCCCAAATAATCTAGTAGCAGAAGCAGGAGGAAGTTACAGTCTTGCTGAAAGTAGTGGATGAAGTTGAAATGAGATGGTTTGGTGGTGCTGCAGAGTAGACACTTGACAGTCATGCCAGCTGTATCTCTCTGTTTCAGCCAGCAGTAATGCGTATCCCTCTTGGTGTATGACAAAAATATACTACTTGGTATGCCAGTGAAATAAAGAACAAGAGGCCTTTGCTGCTTCTTCGTCCCAGCATTCTGCAAAGATTTATAATAATCTTTCTTTCCTTCTTGGCAAGAGATAAGAAGGCAGCATTCAGAGATGAGCTCAATGTTATACTGAATGCTTCACTCAGGAGGCTAAAAATCATGAGCGTTGATAAAACTATTAGTAATGACCTCCTTTTCAGGCCTGTAATGCTTTGAAGGATTGCCTTGAAGTTACCCTCCCTCTGCTGCCTCTGAGCAGAACCAGTGACTGGGAAGTCAAAAACCTCTAAGAGAGGATTTTTGCTGTTTTGTTGTCTGATCCCCTTTCATAAAATTAATAGTAGGTTGTGGCAGAAGAATCTCATCCCAAAGAGTTTGGAAAGAGTCTGTATATCTTGAACTTCGTAGTGAAGACCTGAGGATATTACTGCACATTGTGGGTCCCTTGTATTAGTTAAGAGACCCAAAGACATGCGTGGACATTGTGATCAAGTTAGGCTACAGACAGAAACATACATTCACAGTTGTATTTGTTTTTTAAGGCTCTGAGCTTACCTGAATACCAGGGTGTGCTTCATTGCTATTGATTTCTGTTCTTCATAGAAACTTTAAAGCCCTACAGTGCTTTGCCCTTTGGTGCTTCTCCTCTGACCTTTTGATTTTTGATAGTCCTCTGAAAGGAATATAGCATTCTTCTACATTAAATCTTGCAACTCATTGGGGGGGTTGTTGTTGAACAAAACAAAATGTTAATCAAATACAAACTATTGATCTGACTTTTTCATTGCTGACATTTTTAAAACAGAGAAGAGAGATGAAGTGGTATATTATGACACTTACGAAAGTATGGAAGCCATGCTTGAAAAAGAGGATATGGCAACATCTGTACACTTGCAAAAGGAGGAGCTGCAAAAGTTACAACAAAAAATCCGCCAGCTGGAAGCAAGGCGTGGACGTATTTCAGCCAAGAAAGCCTACCTCAGAAATAAGAAGGTATTATTAAATTGCAGATGTCTAGCGTAATTAACAAATTTAATAAAACTTCAAAAGGTTTCATTTCCAATACAATTTCCAAGTCTCCCAGTATTTTCATGGATTATATTTACTACTTACTAAAGTTGTTTTACAGAGTACCAAATACAATAGCATGTATTATTAAATTGACATATTTAAGATTCAGTTTACCTTTTAGCTTTAAAGGAACCTTTAATCACTTTGAAGTCAACAAATAAACTTGTTTCTATTAATTAATCAGAATACTTTCATGTGGAAAGTAAATGCTGGAATGCATGTTTTTACAGAGAGTAGTTTTCTGTATGTTTGCAGAAGAGAATTTTCAAGGGTGTTTTCTCACTAATGTGTTCTATTTTCATTCTCTTAGCTCATCCTTTTAATCTTATGTCATGTGTCATTGATGCTCTGTATTCAGCAGATATATATGAAATCCAGTATATATTCTTAATTTGTAAAACTAGGTGTGCTATTTAGGGCCACTTTCCTTTTTCATGCATTACATGATTGGGATGTTGTACAGAAAATTGTTTTAATATAGCTGATGTTTTGAATTTGTGTATCAAGTGTACATAAATATGTTAATTCCTTTTTTCCAGAATGACTTGTTTATTGTTTCCTAGCAGTTTGCGGTTGCATGAATATGCATTATTGATAAGTGAGATAGCTTCATGAGTAGAATAGATTGAAGTTCTGAGAGAGCATTGTAATACGTGTTATAAAACAGGTTACCACCCCGTACTATACACTATAAGGCTATGCAGAAGTCTCAGTTGAGACCTCGTTCTAGATTGGGATCAGGGGTTGGTGTGGTTGTTATATTCCCAGTCATGTCTCTTGATGTGGGAGATGACCCCTTTATATAAACAATTGTAGTAGATTGAGAGTAAAGCCTTCAGGTCTTGCCTCGCCTTCATAACTAAATGTGTCTATTTCTGTAACTGAATCTGAAGCATAACAGAGCAAACAAAACAATAGTTGGTACGTTTTACATTTTGGATTTTTTATATTTCTTCAGTCACTGTCCTGTCTCTGATTAACACAATATGGAGAAGACTGCAAATAAGTTATTATAAAAGAAATGTCTCTTGTTAGCCAGTTATGGGAAGTAGCTTGCTCAGAGTCATTGAGTTTGTTTTATGTGACTTTGTAAAAAGAAAAAGTATCAAGAAGCTGGGCTTTTTAGCACTTCAAGGAATAGATCCTATCTGTGACATTATGCTAATTAATGTAGACTACTTTGTAATAATTATGCTGTTTTCTCCTGAATGTGAAAAGACACTGCTGGCATCTTAGAGAGGACACAAACCTGTTTAAAAGCAACAGCCTCACTGCTGTTACTTACTTAACTTACGGGAGTTAACAAGTCAAAAAGCAGCCCTGAAGCAGTAGTTATTTTGTAGTATGCCTTCTTATCTGTGTAATGAACTAGTCACCTTCAATTGGCTCATTTGTTTCAAGGTTATGCTATGATAAAATACCTTGTTTAAGCTGAAGGAAGTGGTTCTAGGCTGTAATAGTAGTTGCGGCATGCCTGCTTGTGTCCTGAGACATGATGCAGAGCTGTATATGGTAGTATTGCTCATCTGGGTCTGCATGCGGGAGTAATACAGTCATGTCTGCTCAACATTGTACTGGAAGAACATGGCTATACTGCTTTCAGGACCTGAGGTAATGTCTCCATGTGGAACTTCACTGCTGGACATGGCAGCATGGACATCACAGCGTGCTCAGAACTAGTTCCCCCTCTCTGCTGATTTCATTGCCCAGCGTAGCATTATCTGCAGTTGACTGCTGCAGTGAGATACTTAGCTTTCAGCTTCTAAAGAAATCAGGGATTAGAATAACATGTATTTAAACTTGCAGGGGGAAATCAAAGATTTTTATTTGAGCAAAAAGAATAGGCAGAATCAGTTGTTGTGTGCCATTTTGCGGCACTTCCTGGGCAGAAGAGAATGTAGCCATTTTGATGGATATTTATGTTAGAGGTATTTACTGTAGCTGCTCTTACTACTGCTGAATAACCCAGAGCTCTACTAAGCTTAATAGTAGAGCTATACTAATTACCTGAAAATCAAGACTCTTGTGGCTTTATTTCAAACATAAAGAAGCCTTGTATCTTGAGTGACCATTCTAGTGGTATTGCAAAACATTGTTAATGAACACTATTTATAGTGCCTGATGTGGGTGGTTGTACTTTATAAAGTAAAGTTGTACTTTATAAAGTAAAGAGGAAAAGGTTGTACTTTATAAAGTAAAGAGGAAAAAAGGGTTCTTGATCTGAAGAGTTTGCAGTTTAAGTTAAGTATGCAGAACAAAGATACAGATGGGATGCGAAAGCAGACTCTAGATGGTGAGAATGAGTGCAGTGATGACTGAATGCTAAGTGGAGAAAGGAATGAGTTTTTGAGGGTATATTTGGAAAGTACATACTATGTGGTAAATCTCTTTCTCAAAGTCTGGCTGTCTCTCTCAATTAAGAAACATTTATTGTTGAACTGAGATGAGAGTCTGCTTAATGCTTTTCAGATTGTGTTCCTGACTGTGCTTGTTTCAGCAAAGTATCTTAAAACAGAACTGTAAACAAGTGTTCTGTTTTGGATTGGGTTGATGAGGTTTTGGTGTTTGGTTTTTTTACTTTGTCAGTTCTGTAGTTAAAAAAAAAAAAAAAAAAGCAAGCTTTGCGTTAAGTCGTGTATATCACAGTTTTGTGATATATTTAGAAATTACAGTCCTTGCTCATTATTAGGTTTTTGGCAACTGAAGATTCCCTTAGGAGAATGCCTCCTTTCTAGCAGCAGATACCATGATTAAGAAAACAACAGGAAATTATTCTGTATCGTCAGTTTTTATTTTTCAGAGGAGGTCGTTTCGTCATCCGGGTATTTGAAAATCTTTTCTGTTGAGAAGGTAACACACTGAAAGAGAATCGGTTACTCTGTGTAGAATAAGACTACGTATAATATAAGTATGAACTTCTGTGACTGCAGTCTCTATTAATTTTGTTTTTCAGAAATTCCTTCCCTGGTTTTGCAGTTGATGTTTTTATTTTTTAATGGTGTTGTCAAATAATTGTACCGAATCTTTATTTAGAAACTTTTGCTAAAGGTTTGTTAGAAGCCTCATTGGGTTGTGATTCTGAATAACTGAGCCAGCATTTTTAAAATTAATGGTTTTACACAGGTTGATGTTCTTTTACTGTACTACCATGCGTATAAACTCTTTATTCTCGTATTTTTTTTTATACAAACCTATTTGCATCTGTTAAGCAATCATTTCCTGATGTTCTTTTGTGCTGGTGACAGTGAGTTAGTTATTCAAAAATAAGATTTTAATAGCAGTCTCATTATTCTTCTTATTTCTTGAAAGATAGTTATGGATTTTTCATGCAGGGTATCACTATTGTTATCCCAGTCTACCCCCTGCTGGCTGCACAGTAGTATTAATTAGGTTGTCATATAGAAAAAGCAGCTGTTTTATTAGGGAGCTAGATTTATAGCAAAGACTCAAGGTAAAAAAGATGGTGTAGAAGGCATCTAGAAAAATATATTCGGAAAAATAGAGTTGTGAAGAAATTCGAATTATTTTACATCCAGAAGATTATTCCTCATCATAAGCAGACTGGGAGAAGCAACTGTGTGCTTTGACCTAGAAACCTTCCTCACATGCTGTTGCGTCCGTGTATAATAGGACACCTTTACTACTTTGCAAGCCCACAGTTTAAAGCATGGCCCTTGCCAAAACAGGTGTTACGTAGATGCAGTGACAGCTGGCATAGGGTTACTTGATATGCTTCCGTCTTCTTTCTTCCTTCCTTTCTCCCCTTCTTCCTTCTTCTTCCTTCTTTCTTCCTTCCTTTCTCCCCTTCCTCCTTCTTTCTTCCTTCCTTTCTCCCCTTCTTCCTTCTTTCTTCCTTCCTTTCTCCCCTTCTTCCTTCTTTCTTCCTTCCTTTCTCCCCTTCTTCCTTCTTTCTTCCTTCCTTTCTCCCCTTCTTCCTTCTTTCTTCCTTCCTTTCTCCCCTTCTTCCTTCTTTCTTCCTTCCTTTCTCCCCTTCTTCCTTCTTTCTTCCTTCTTTCTTCCTTCTTCTTCCTTCTTCTTCCTTCTTCTTCCTTCTTCTTCCTTCTTCTTCCTTCTTCTTCCTTCTTCTTCCTTCTTCTTCCTTCTTCTTCCTTCTTCTTCCTTCTTCTTCCTTCTTCTTCCTTCTTCTTCCTTCTTCTTCCTTCTTCTTCCTTCTTCTTCCTTCTTCTTCCTTCTTCTTCCTTCTTCTTCCTTCTTCTTCCTTCTTCTTCCTTCTTCTTCCTTCTTCTTCCTTCTTCTTCCTTCTTCTTCCTTCTTCTTCCTTCTTCTTCCTTCTTCTTCCTTCTTCTTCCTTCTTCTTCCTTCTTCTTCCTTCTTCTTCCTTCTTCTTCCTTCTTCTTCCTTCTTCTTCCTTCTTCTTCCTTCTTCTTCCTTCTTCTTCCTTCTTCTTCCTTCTTCTTCCTTCTTCTTCCTTCTTCTTCCTTCTTCTTCCTTCTTCTTCCTTCTTCTTCCTTCTTCTTCCCTTCTTCCTTCTTTTTTCCCCTTCTTTTCCCTTCTTCTTCCTTCTTCTTCCTTCTTCTTCCATTATTATTATTACAACAACTTAAGGGTCATAACTACACAGAATGCTTATAGTAAAATACGATTTCTGCACATACTGAGCTTACTAAATGAGAAGCTAACCTTTTAATTGGGATGCTTTTCAACCTGAAAGCAAGGCTCACTGGAACTAGTTAAATGTAATAACTAGTGCAAATCTCTTTTATGTATATTACATGTTAGTAACCTTAAACATGGTGGCTTATCCAGTGACGAGGGGTTGAAATGGTTCCTCAGCTCTCCCTTTTTGTCTCTTTAATAGAAGTATGATTTGATACTGTGAAGTGAGTCAGGTGACTGAAAGAGAAATGAACATTACTTCTTGTTGCTCTCTCAGTACCATACAGTTGGTCAATGTCTTTCTTGAAGTGACACTCTCACTGGATATAATGCTCCTTGCTTTCCCAGTGCTGAGAAGGAAGGACTACTTCACATGTGCAGTGGGCTGTGTTCCTGCTCATGCACCCAATTATGATGTTATCTTTTTTTTTGCCAGAGTTTGTTAGTTTATGTTCAACTTGTCATCTGCCATAATCACCCAGATCATTTTCTTTAATGCTGCAACCTGGCTGCTTTTTGTTCTTCATCTTTTGTTTGCAGTCACTTAATTTTGTCTACAAGTAGAACCCTGCATTTGTCCCTGTGAAATTGCAGCCTTTTTTTTTTTTTTTTTGAGACCATGTCTGTAATTAATTAAGTTGATACAGATTCCTAATCCTGTGCTGCAACATGTTTTCAGCCCCTCCTGGTCTTTTTTATTATTTCAATTCATAGCGCTCTAATTACATTAAAGTAGGTTGTTTATTAGTGCAAAGTCAGTACCAAATATGTTTTGGTCTGATTTATCCTCTCTACATGCTAAAAATATCTTTCATTATTGCTCTTAATGAGAAAGATTTAAATAGTGATGATAAAGAGAAAATGTTTCATAAAAGTGTGCCCCCAAATATTTATGACATGTCAAAAAACCCAAACCTAACATACATTTTCTCATTATTTTATAATACTTTTTAATATCTCGTAACGTACATTCCTCATTATTTTAGAAGACTTTTAATCGAACTTTCACAGAAATAGAGAATAAACTATAAAGGCAAATCATTAGCAGTATTACAAAAAGTCTTTCAGATTCTCTAATATTAGTCTGAAGTTATTGCTCTGTCTTTGAAAAGCAGAAATTAGGTAGTTTGTACTTTTGCAGTTACAAATTAAATGGATTAACTTTTCCAGCTATATTAATTAAACTCTTTTCATCAGGGGAAAAAACTCCACAAAGAAACAAACATAAAACCCAGCAGTGTTTAGCTACATATATACACCTCTGATGAAGCTGGAACAGTATTTCCACAGAAACTTGTGCTCTTGTCAGTGTTATCTGTATACGGTAGCAACCTTGATGGTCTTACTGTTTAGAAACATTCAATACAGCATGGTATTTCTGTCCTATACAGGAACACTGGCTACATTTTTATATGATCACAGTATGTCCATAGTCAGCTTGCAGGAGAACGTAGCTTTTTCTGCATTTCCCAGTGTCCAAAATTGTGGGCTTTTTTTTATCCCTCCCCTCCTTGTTTTTGTATCTTTCTGCCACTACTGTAGTATCTTGTTTGATGGGTGATAACTCCATCAGCTGCCCCAAGCAGTGCTTTCAGTGGCAAAGCTCCTGTCTGGCTCCACCGAGTAAGTCAAGGTGACTAATGCCTGGGAAGCCCATCACTTCGGTGTTCTTCTAGCTGCAGTAACGCTCTGAGCTGCTTCCTAACACTGCCCCTGCTTACACAGCCATGAGATGTGTTTCTAACATCTTTGTTCCAGTTCTGTGTGATGCTTGTACCAGGCCTAATTTCATTGCCCCTACTGTCTGATTTCCTGGCCCTCAGTATTGTCCTATGAACTTGTCTGTCTTGTTGCTACTCTAAACTCCTGCACGTGCCTTCTCTTTGTAACATACTTAATTCAGTTCTTTCTGTATTATCTACCTGAAGTTTGAATGTCATCCAGTTTCTTGTCATCTATTGTAACATGGCCTGGGTTTTTTTAACCTGTTCTTATTTCTAGGCAATGTAATAAATGCTTGTTTTTAAACCAGACGTTACAGATGTGAACTCGGTATAAGTGAACCTGCTTGTGCATGCATAAAATTGTAACAACTTTATTAATGTTTGTGCTTGCAGATTGTACATGCAAAAGATGAACTGACACTTGTAAATGGGAAGCTGCCTAGTTGCATAAACAGAAATATGTAGTATATTTGAGAGTTAGTTATTATCCATGTATACAAATACATGGAGTTACACAAAGGTTTTATGAAGTATTTGACAAATCGGTGTTTGTTGCCACTTTTGTACTGGTATTGTAGAACAGACTTTTCAAGCAGCTGTTACTTGTGTATATTCTTTTGACAGTTAAAAGTAATAGGTGTGGGTTTGTCTTGGTTTTGTTTCCATTTTATGGTTTTATTGTATGTTAAATTAGCTTGGTTAAATTAGCTTGTCTGAGATAGGCTTTGTAATTTTTATTTTTCTAATTCTTAGTGCTATTTGCTAAATATGACACTATACCCTGTAAATCAATATTTGAAATTCATATTTTATAGATAACATTTTGTGTCTCTACAGGAGATCTGTATTGCAAAGCATAATGAAAAGATCCAGCAGCATCACCAGAGTGAGGAGGAATACAAAATGCACCATACTGTTCAGCTAGTAAGTTTGAGTTTTCTGCTGTTGAGTTTAGCCTTTAGTTAATAGCTTGCATTCCTCACCATACATTAATTAGGAGAGTATTCAGAATGATAGCTGGTTTAAAAAGATGGTGTATATCCCTGACCTTTGCACCATGGATTTCTGTATCAGATTATGCTGGTAAGGGGGAGTATATAGCTCTGTTAGGATGACATTGAACCCAAGCAAATGAAACAGTTTTTTAATGCTAGGTTCACAGTCCAAGTGATTACTGCTAGGGTTAGGCTGCATGTTGGTTGTTACCATGTGCACACAGATGATTCCAGACATCTCTGAGTACGGTGTCAGATATGCTGAAATGAGTAAGGAAACCATACAAATTTCTTGAATCTTAGTAAGCTTGTTCGTTATTTTTCTTCTTTCTACAAAAGAAAACACTTGAATTGTGTTGTATAAAGATGTAGTTCCAGCTGTATACTCCACAATTCTCTGCACAGTCTCATTGCAGAGAATAGGCTAGTTAGTCCACCTCTTGTGCTGAACGTAATAGGCTTTATGTTAAAGAATATTCAACTTCTGGGCTAGGCCTTGGGAGCTGGTATACTATCAATGTTTGATAAAGATCACTGACAAAGATGCATTGAAATTCAAGTCTCTTTAATTCAGGCTTCAATTAGATTAGTGAAAGTGATTCTGTTTCATCCTTATACATTTTTAACATTGATACATTTGTCCAGGAAGTCAGCTGCATAATTTATTTTAGGAAAAGGCTACTTGCGAAAGACAGTACGTATTGGCATACTTTTTCAAGAACTTAGAAAAATATTTTTTTTTCAGTTCTTAACAATAAGGCAAAGGAATTTGCTGTGTGGGTTGTAGTCCATTTATCACTCTTAAAAATAAGACTTCACAAAGCTGAAGGACTTTCTTGTCTCTCAAACACTACAGGGCTTTTCCGTTATTTATTTCATGGAGTTGCCTGCTTGCATTGTACGAATAACCTTATGCTAATTTTTTTTGGTCTTTTTTGTGTTAATAATGTTACTGAAAATTTCTACTATTATTGTAAAACAGGTTTTCAGGCACTGGTTTTCATGAGGAATTTTGAAAATATAATCTCAAGGGTGTCCAAACCTGAAACCAAATAAGAATTGCAATTTCACTATTCATATTTAACAACAAAACAAAAAAAAACCCAAAACAAACAAAACCCTTGAGTTTGAGACTGCTTCAGGTAAAGTTTGACCTGATTGCATACGTAACATGCCGATGTGGTGGTAGAACTATCCTTTCTTCTTGCTATAATCTTTTCTTTACGTTTCTGTTTTAGCTTCTTTGCCCCATTGCTCTGTTATTTTCTTTTCATCACATGCTTCTATTCCTCTTCTCCTTTTCCTGTTTCCTGTCTATTCCTTACTATTTTTCAGACATGTTCTCCTCTTCCTCTCCGTAATGCATCTATACTTACCTCCTTCCACATCACAGCTGGCTCTTTATGAAGGACACCAGGCCACTAGCTGACCCCTGAAAATGGCAGGCAGGCAGACACTGCTTTTGTGTTGGCTGAATGACAATAAAAGTTCACAAAAGTGATCAGAATTTTTAATTATGATGATGAAGATGGGCTTTTAAAAGTAATACTTAATGCTGTGAGTTTTTTAAGAATTAAAGCTGCTGTTTCTGCTCAGGGTTTTTTCTTTATAGTCACCTGTTCTATCATTTTTCCTGGTAACTTCTGAATTTGCATACAATGACTTTTGCCATCTGACTTTTGCATCCACTTTCAATAAATTTGACTGAAGAGTAGTGTTTTGTTTCAAAGATGTATTAACTTTGCTGAAGTTTTGTGAAAATGGATGACTAGTTAAAGGAGGTGGATCCAAATGTGTGTTTTCACTGAGGTAACATCCCCAAACAAGAAAAAATACAACTGTCATAGCTGCAAGGCAGAGCTTCAAACCTTTACTGAAGTAAGGTTGCGGAAAATCAAGCTGGATTAAATAATGACAGCTTAAGTTAATTAAATACAAAACTTTCATTTACTGTTGTAAATGATAATGAAAATGTTTACTTAATTTGCTCAGGATTGGATTCAAAACTTTGTGGCACTGAGTTCTGTGATTTCTTGCACTGTGAAAATACTAATATGACTTGGTTTAAATGGGCAGCCTTGCAATTTGGACTGTCGTTTTGTTTTTGGAATGAGAGAAAATGGATACTGGTTTTCTGTCTGGATAATTTATACCATTTTTAATTTAAGGGGGCTTTTTTTTAGTAGAATATTCTGTCACGTCTCTAGTTATTTCTCATCTTTCAAGGTAACAAGTCTTCAAGTGTTCCAGTTCCAGGTTGAAATCTTTCTTTACTAAGCTTTGCATTTCTTCAAGATTGTAAAACATGAAATGCATAATATTTTTTTAAGGGGAAGACAAAGGCCAAGTTCTGAAGTTCAGAAATGTGTTTATTTGAGAAGTAGATTGTTAGGTAATCCCTAACAATCCCTAGTTAGTAGAAGAGTTCTTTTAATTCCATTTTTTTAATGATGCTAAACATAGCACTGCATGTAATACTTACATGTTTTCCATATATTTTCTCAGAAGCGAGATCAATTAAAAGATGAAGAGGAAAGAAAGAGCTCCTGGGTTAGTCAGGAACGACAGAAAACACTGGACAGACTTCGCACATTTAAACAGGTAACAGAAGAAGAGTTGGTTCTTTTCCACCGGTTTCTTCTGGTGCAATTTTCACTCATTCCAGGACTATACTATGCTACTAGCTGTTATCTTTTGTTGTATAGTTAACTGTTCTTTGAAAAATTTACAACAAAATATGGCATTGGTGGTAACAAATTCCTCTAGCCATTACATTCCCAATGCAATAATAAGCTTCTGTTCCCTCCTACATCTACATGTTGTGACAAGACGCTTAGCAAACGTTCCTAAACGAAGTATAACCTAAATGGTATTTCCCGCAAAGAGCGTTACCATCTGACACACCCCCACTACCACTGATTGCTAGAATACCTGCCTATAGCTGCCCCTTCTTATTGCAATGTAAGTATCAGAAAATGGATGGCAGATGGAATGAAGGGGAGAGAATAAGGAAAGGGGTGACAGTACAAGAAAACAGAGACTGTATTAATTGGTGAAGACTTTTTCTGGTTTTGCTGAATACATTAAAAAATATAAGTATGAGAAGTTTCTTTACTGGAAAGCTGTCTTGCTTAGCAGTACACTCTTCACATCCTTATTGTTTGCAAGGCTTTTGAATTGCATAACTTCTGTAAATTAAAGCAAATTTACTTATTTTAATCAGCAACTGTTAATGAACTGACTTTATGTATAAGCATGTTTATATTGTTATGATCTCTATTGCTTTAGGCCTACCACAATTGTGTAAAATGTATTAGACCTGTCTTTCAAAAGCAATTTAAATTTTTGCATAGAATTGGCTATGGATGAAACTAACATGAAAAAACAGATATTGAGGCAGCAAATTTAAGAACTAAATTAAAAATACTTTGGAAAGTCTCAAAATGTTTGATGTTTTCAAGAGATACCTTTTTAAGCAGTATGATTCACATCTAAAGCCAGTGTATTAGGTCAGAGAAGACTTTGTTGCAGAGGGAGCCATTGACTAGGTTTAGAAAAGGAAAGCAAGGAGTTCTGAATTCAGAAAAAGAGTTTTGAATGTACAATCAGGTTCATAGTGAAATCCTAATTCTAACCTATGTATATCCCTGACTTGACCAATCACATGTAAGTTGTAGTTTAACCAAGAACAAAAATTAAAGAAACGGATCATTTTTGCGTAAAAGTGGGGATACATTTGCTTTGTTTTTACATCCAGAGCAAAATGAATGAAAATAGCAGATGAATTCCACTTGTCGGAAAGGCAAACCCTAATGACAGGTACTTATTATCTAGAATAGAGTGTTGCATGTACTTATCTAATTTTCAATAACTTATTCACTTTAGCGGTACCCTGGGCAAGTAATACTTAAATCAACCAGACTACGGCTGGCTCATGCAAGAAGAAAATGTGCAGCCAGCTCAGTGTCCTGTGTTGATCAGCCTCGATCTTTGCCAGCAACCATACAAATCCAAGAGAAAAGTGAAGAAGTGGAATTGGAAAATACAGTTCGGCCTTTGCAGGTGCAGGAATCCACAAGCTTAGAACAACTTCAAGATATTTCATTACCTCCCAATGGTGTTACCTCTGAACTGCCTCATGTTAGTACTTCTCCACTCACCAGTAATGAGCTTCAACCAGAGATTGTTACTGTAGTACCGCTTCCACCCCCTTTGCCCCCACCACCTCCACCTCCACCTTTGCCTTCCAAGGAAGATGCCACCAAATCCTTAGAGAAAAGCAACAGCTTCGTTAAACATCAGAGTGAGGAGAAGGGAGTCCAGCACTCTTCTGGTGTCCCACCAGCACATCTGTTTGACAGCAGCCAGCTAGTCAGTGCCAAGAAGAAGCTTAAGAAGACTGGTGATCTAGAGGGTTTGCAGAGGAGAAAAGGTAATGTTTTCATTTCTGTGTATTTAATTGTAATGCACATCAGTTCCTCTTTTGAATTGCTCTATAGAAAAGTGTATGCTGTGATTAATTTGTAATTATTAATGGGAAAGTTGTTAAATCCTTTTCAGCTGAGAAATGTCAGCAAGTCAACAAATGTTAGGACTTTCACAAGAGCGTGTGGTGTACTTTTTCAATTAGACAGAAAACACTTGTGAAACTGATTCTATGATATACCATGTTAGACTAGCTAGAAAATGGAGCTAAACATTGCCTATAAGAATCTTTTCCCATCTAGTTTATAGCCAACACTGCAAATATTATATGCTTCACCTGAGGGTGCAGTGTTTTTTTTATAACAGTGTTTTACATAATTTATGACTTAGTAAAATGAATACTTGTCTTGGGACATAGGAAACCTTGAGAACGCTATCTTCAAGGTTTCTTCAAATTTTTGTACAAAAATCCACAAATACCCATGGGAGCTGAGTAAGAATATATATGTTTAACTACAATTGGAAATCAAATCTGTAATCATTCAGCAAAGCATGTTCATAAATAGTTAAAAGACCAAAAACAACTTTGGAAACGGAGGAGAATGAATAGAGCACAGGGCTGATCTGGGAGATCTGTTACAACCTGTTGTTTCTGTGCTACTTGTTTTTAACTGTTTATCCTTTATCCCATATATAAAATGGGAAGAGTGGCAGCCATGTTTGAACAAAATAATCCTGGTATTTTGGTGAAACATGTTATATTGGAGCTACATTTTTATTTGAAAATCAGAGATGGGATTTTCAAAAGTGCTCAGCTGAACTATTTTACTGGAAGTCACTGAGAAAAAGTATCTTGAGTGGGCCCTGATTCACACTGCTGTAATATGGCTGTAATAACATTTTATAAAAATTCTATCTGGCTCTGTCAATTACAACTACAGAAAACATCCTCCATTGACATTTTCCCTCATCCAGATGAAATAAAAATTAGAAATGTCTTCATCAATCAGACAGAAACCAGAGTGTTTCCTTTAGAATTGTCCTTAAATGACTGAAAACCCTTGAAGCAACTGCATAGTTACAGAATTCTTAAGCTCTTACGAGTCTTGCAGGTTGGAGGTACAGTGTCTTAAGTTCATTATCAATTTTGATGGCTGCTGTGCTCCATTTTTCTTTTTCTGTAGTTCTATTGTTTATTTTTCTGATACCCATTTTATCTTGCCATTTTATGTAAAGCACGTATTGTGTGTGCAATTTGATATACATCATAAAATGACAAATACAAAATCAAATTATATCCTCCCTCTTAGGAGTGTTGTTAATGTCTGCAGCAGCACTCTACCTACTGCTCTGTATTTCCGAAGATGTTCCAAGTCTGTAAGTGGCTTGAGAACTTAGTCTCTGTATGACAGACAAGTGTTTTACAATCCTTCCTTCATTCTTCAAATGTGCAGTCCTGTATTCTTCCTTTATTTCTCTTTTCTTCATGTCTATTCCAGCTATCTGGGCCATTAGTCTGATGGACAAAGCCCACTCATAAATGCAAAACAGGTTTAAAAAATGTATTCTCCAATATACAAAAAAGAACTGGAGATGGATATTGATCTATTGATTGATAGGTGCTGCATGTTGTATGTGCTAGTGTATGCAAGCTATTTCAAACTGTTGTACTTATTACAACGATTCTCTGGGATGGAGATCTTAGCTACTTGTAGCTCTTCAAAGAGCCAAAGGCTGATTTTTGTTTCTGCAGAGAACTAGTTTCAAATTGGTGATAAAGGAAGGATTTGTCATAAAGTCTTAACTCTTACTTCTCTGTTTTCATTATTTGTAAAGGAAGGGAATTTATATAGACATGCTGTGGCTAGGTGCTAATACATACATGAATCCAGAGAAGCAGAAAAATGCATGCTGTTGCAGTTGACTATACTGCTGCTTCCCTCACTGGCATGTAATAATAGGCATAGAGTAGGTAAAGTCAGCCACAAAATGCAAGTGCTGAAAATGGACTGCACAGTCCAATACTTAAGATATGTACTTATTACCTGAGTCTCAAAGTCAAGAAAGATAATGTAAAAACCACTTTCATTGTGTTGGATTCATTGCAGCTATTTTGATTTTCCTGACTGCGAACAGGAAAGCTATCTTGTTCAAAAAGTTTTACTACCTGCCTGATAGGAGGTTAAGTGGTTTCAGAAATTGTAATTGTCTATCTAAACCAGTTTTGACCTGGTAATAGGGAAGAAAAATTTGGAGGCTAAAACAATAGTGGAGTTACCATTATATTTATCGTATGGGACTATCACATTAATAGTATACAGCTGCTTTTTGGGCTGTAGGAAATATAAATGAAGATTGATAAAATATAGTAAAAATAATACTGAAGGTCTTTTCATTTACTGCAGTGAGTTCCCCGATGGATGAAGTGCTGGCTTCCTTGAAACGTGGCAGCTTTCACTTAAGAAAAGTTGAGCAGAGAAGTCTCCCTCCTTTTCCTGATGAAGATGATAGCAATAACATCTTGGCACAGATCAGGAAAGGGGTGAAACTGAAGAAAGTACAGAAAGATGTTTTGAGAGAATCCTTTACAATTCTGCCTGATACTGACCCTCTGACAAGGAGCATCCATGAAGCATTGCGACGAATTAAGGAAGCATCACCTGAATCAGAGGATGAAGAGGAGAGTTTGCCTTGCACAGACTGGGAAAATTAACCTGTAATTAACCTACATTTAAAAAAAAATACTTCTTCAACACTTTTTCTATAACAGTAGCAGCTAAGCCTCAGGTTGTGCATTCTAGGAGACTTAGTATGAATGTGACTAAACTGTCTGACGTCCAACGTGTTAAAACATGCACACATGCATTTAGTATCACTGACTTTTCAAAGAATTTAAGGTTTATAGTAAGGAAAACTTTTTTTAGGCAACATCTTAGCCTTTTATTGTTTGAATACTTTTGCTGAATATTGACAGGACTGCTCCTATAAAAAGCTCTATTTTATTTAGCAAATTTGAAGGGACTGTTTGCAGCTTACCAAAACGCTTTAAAAAGCTTTTAAGTAACAAAGCAGCACAATCTCTCTTGGACACACCCTGTACTTATTTTCTAATTACTTCTGGCCTTGTAAAAATTTAGCATGTTTATTACTTCAGACTGAATAGCTCCAAGTGAAGGATGATTAGATTTGACTGCTGAACACATTGAAATCTCGCTGGTTACCCTGTGTGACTGACTCTTTGACAGCTTGGTTTCAATCTGTAAACACTCTGACTTAATTGAATTTCTAGACTATAAACAGTAAATATACAAATATAATTTATACTTCTGCTACTCATACGAATCCCATTAACTTGCATTATACTAAGCTACAGTGCCTGAAAGTACAGATATTAGACTTCAGGAGATGAAGTTAATGATTTCAAAACAAACCAGAAATTAAGGCTGCATCAGTAGCACAAAGAGATTCTTGATTACAACACCACCATACAGCACTATTCTTCTACGGTGGTTCTTTTCTGCTACTGGCATATGAATGAACTTAAGTCTGAATAAAAGGTTCCATTAAACTTATTTGCAAGTATTTAAAATTTGGAGAAGAGAGGTATGACAATCTCTAAAGAATTTAAAAATTTATTTAGAAATCAAAGGCTATTTCAAGAGTATGGAAGATAAATATTTATAATCCTTGCAACACAGCTAGTAGTAGAAAAAAGATAACCTTTTTGGATGTTTACAATCAGGCAATTCTGTCCTGGTTAGTTATTACCATAGCTAGAGAGTGACTATTGATAAAGTGCTACAGCTGTTTAAAAAGTGATGGTGACTTTGCACATCATCTGCTGAATGTTGTTGTGATTATGAAATACTATGTCTCAAACTGTTCCATTGGTATGCTATTTTCAAATAATAATGTTTAAAATTTTCAAAAAGGAAAATACATGTTGCCTTTATTTCCTCATGAACTAGCCATTGGCCACACTAATGATTTAATACTGTTTAATTATGGCATGCTCCTTCTGTTCCGTATCAAATGTACTGCTAGTTTTGGAGTTGAAAATCCAGGAGTGGAGGTGTACTTAACTCTTGCTGAAACTCAAAGTGAAAATAGTTTTGCTTGGATGTAACTTTTTTCTGTTACTTGCATACTGAAAACTCCCACTACCACAGCCCTTCAGAAATCAAGTGACAGGTATAAGAAAAGACATGCCTTGAAATTGACTTGGCTTTTTCAGTGCAATTATTCTCTTTTCATTTCCTAGATAACTGAGCAAATTTAAATTTTATTTGACTTCATGATTTTAGTAAATCTAACTTACTCTTTGGGATCTTGTTTGCATTTTTTAGCACGAATACTCTCTAATACTATGGGTTATTTGGGGGGAAAAAAAAAAAAGTCCAAGAGTGACTTTGAATTTTTTAAACCTAGTTGGTGGACCTCCTAAACATTTTCCATTGGAAGTGTATTCTCTTAGAAGCTTATGTGTGTGTTGCCATAAGATATAAATGTACGTTTTCGTCTGCTATCTTTTGCAGCCCCATAGAAGCAGTTCAGAGTGCAGGCTGAAAATCACTGCCATGCAGTACCTGTAGTGCACTGGTTGTCGTCTCCTTTTTACCAGTCTACAGTTATGGTATCTTCCCCTTTTACAGATGCACTCCTGTCAAATGCTGAGGTCCCATGAAATCACTTCGACCTAAAGTAGGATGCAGTGTCAGAATTCTGAGTGTGTGCTCCTTGGAGTGCTTCACACATCTGGGACCCGCTTTCTCTTACCAATATCATATTTTATTATGAAATCAATCCTGTTTTCATGAGATGAGACTATTTAATAGATTTGATTGAAAAATGCTTGTACAAAATAGCTAACAGCTCGGAAAGGAAAAACAGGCCCCTGCTATGCAAGCGCAGGAAATAATCTGGGAGAACAGAGACTGAGACAAAGCCCTCTGAAATTCAGCTGAATAAATACTTTTCACATAGATGAATGAGCTTGCTTGAACATACAGACTGGTTTCCCAGAATTTATTACACAAGAGTAAAATCTAATGAAAGTCCGTTGTAGAAATAGCAGAATAGTATTTTTTACTATAAGGTTATCCATTTAATACCATGCTCTAAGATTGACCTACTGATTTTTAGCTGTAAGCTCTGCACATACAAAAAACAGTTGCGTAGAGGTTTTCGGTTGAAAGCAGTTATCAAAAGTATATTGGCACGTATGTTACGAACTATGCTTAATACATGTACATCTGTGTAGGCTAAATGTAATGCAATTATTTGCTTTAGGAACTGAGGCTAAATCTGATATAATGATGTATGTTTATCAGGTGCCAAAAAGTGTCTTAATGTACGTGCAAGGAGTATCAACAATGCCCACTGAAGTGGTTTCATTAATTACTTAAGTTTGAAGACAAACTAACGGTAACTAATTCCTGCAGGAGATCTAGTCATCTCTTCTATTATCTGCTCTATGAGTTAACTTCTACATAAAGTTATAACTAACTTTAAGAGCAGTTCCTTCCTTACAGACACTCTCAACCATGAACAAAAATGTTGAGGCATTCTGTGTTTTGGAAGTACAGCTGAACAAGCAGTATAAATACGCAGTAGCTTCTGTATGAGAAATCAGAAGATTACTGGTTATCAAAAGTACCCCAAGCCTATCTGTGTGTGTACATAATGGTACACATAAATCACTATAGTACATTAAGAGTACTGTAAGTAATGCGAAACCTGGGTTCCTGGGAGTGATGGACAAAGGAATTGATAATAAGCAAACTTTTGCTTTCTGTAGTCTTCTAATCCAGTATTTTGGGCCTCTTCAAACTCTAATATGTGTTCACTGCCAATAATACCAGAAGGCAAAAAAAGACCTGGTCATATTCTTTGTGTCCTGGCTCCAGAGTTGTGTCATTACCCTGAGAGCAAAGAGAAACAAGGCTTTTGAAGACGCTGCTCAGTATTGCATGTTGGAATTGCCTAAAATGTTGATCAGAGAGTATTTGTACAACTGTTTAGCTTTTCAGATGTTCCTTTTTTTTTTTTCCCAAACAGGTGATTCACAGCTACTGACGTGAGAAAAGAAACCACAGTTGAAGATTACTTTTCCTCTTCATTTCTGAAAATTCAGAGCCAGCAGTTATGACCATCAATTCCACAGGAGGCTTTCTTTGGCAAAGAAATAGTCTTTCTTTGGCAAATGATTCAGTCTATGGAAAAAATGAAATGTTAATTTTTGGGTCACTTTTTTCTTTAATTTGTTCAAAAAATTCTGGCTTGGGCAGAAAGCTAAGTTGTTTAGATGTGCATTTTGTATAACAAGGAATGCCCAATTCTTAAGCACTTTTTATATTTGTGTTAGTAATGTGTGGCCAGTTATGTGAGGGGGGCGTCTTGAGTTGGGAGAACACTTGCTTTTAGAGTAACATTGGGATTCAGCCGAGGCATCAAGCCAGCTATAAAACTTCCTCTTCACTGCACTGAATATATCATCTGCTTGAAAGTACAATTAAATAGCTCCTTGCAGAGAAGCTTGCTAGGTAGCAGTGTGATATTCCAGACAGGGCAGAATTCCTAGTTGCACTACAGTAGCTGAAATTCAGTAACATGTAACTAAGACTTTTTTTCTTCTTAGTTTGAAGAAGTGTATGTCAGTATGAAGAGTAACAAGTGACCACAGCACAATGAGAAATAAGAGTTGAATTCAGTACATATTCAAGAATGTGTTTGTTTCCAGCATGGTACATTTAGCAAGACATACTGCAATACCTTTTTAGAAGGTCATTTGTAGTCTTACACCTTTTTAAAGAGCATGAAAATGTCTACTTTAAAAATAATATTTAGCTATGCTGAACCAAGTTAGTTATACTTTTATCATTTGTTATAAGAAGCAATATTTTGTAATTTCATACTTAAAATTATTTTTCTCTTTTGGTTTAAAATGGCTTTTGATTACTCTAATCAGCCTTCTTTAAAAAATATCAAAGCACTTAAACATATGGATAAGTCAGTTGTGAAAATCATACTTCTTTTGCTGTTTTTTATTATTCTGTTTAGTGGCTGCAAAAGTGTTTGTATTTCATACCTCAAAGCCTACTGGCTGAAAAAAAAAGTTCCCTTTTGATCCTGACTATTATGCGCTGCATTTAGCCACTCTTACGATACCACAGTACTAAGAGGTAAGATACAAGTAGTCTTGTACCGTCTAGAAACTCCATGTGATATTAAAGTCAGCCCGTTAAAATTGTAGGAAAACTGAATTTTCACTAGCATTTTATTTTTACTAGCATGACATACACTGTGTTTGAGAAATACACAGCCCCTGTCCTTTGTGTAGTGTGTTCCATTCACTGTTCCTCTCATGACAGGCAAACTGCTCATGTGGATTTGCTTTTTTTTTAAGTGGAGTTACGCATTGCTGCTGTCATGTAACAGATCATGTACTGTGTCAACGTTTATAACGGGACGTTTCACATCTTGCCATTTACTTAGATATAAGAGGAACAGGAGAACTTACCTTAGTGATAGGCTATGTAACCTAAAGGAACCTCAGAAGTTGGACCCTTCAGTTGTCTCGCTGTGGCTGTCATGAAATTCAAGCTCTGTCAAACATCTCAAAAAGATGTCACTTCCCTCTTGCTATGGACAGGCATTTTCTTAACCTTGTTGCCTTATTTATAAAGTTAGTGAACATTCATTTTCAAAGCACCT